GGGGGGGGGGGGGGGGCCGCAAAAAGGATGTACAAAAAGTTATCTGCCTAAAACAGATAGCTAATTTCTATGGATTTTCAGGGAAAGTTATTATGGAACATTACAGCTAATGTTGATGAGTAGTATTTTTAAGCAACTAGTAAAAAGGTTTTTACAAACTTCTAAGGTTTTTTGCAGATGTGATAGTCGTTTATGATGCAAGTTTGTATATTTTTTTTAAACAAAGTAACTTAGAAATATTAACATCAATTAAACATATTTGGTTGGATTTGATTCTCTTGCAATAGCCACAACCTGAAAGATTTACAATTTTATAATGCAAAAGACTTACAATATAGTCAAAATTTCAGGAGTAACTGTGAGAGGATTTCTTTTAAATATAGCACTCAATAATCAAAACTTCTATTTATTTAAAGATTAACTTCTTCCAAAGTTTATGTTTTAATCTCATCACATCAGTCTGAGAATGTACTAACAATACATGTTTATAATCCAGCTAATCACTAAACACATCAGCCTACACAGAGTTTTCACTCTTGAATTCAATTTATTATGTTCCCTGTATCATGCACATTTCTTCATCAGCAAGAACTGAACAAAATTACATGAAATTAAAAAAGAAACACTCATTGAAAGTCAGGAGTTTTGCCTCCTGCTGCATACACAATCTTGCAACCAGACTTGGTAACAACAAAGCAACACCAGCAAAACAGAGGGAAAGCCTCCCCCTCCACACTTTGCTTTACTTGGGACGAGCAGCACAGTCAAAAGCACTGTCAATTTGACCATCTTCCCATGTATAGAGTTAGTCTGTTATAAGGTCCTTACACAGCAATGGCGAAGAGAAAGCGTAAGTACAAATATTCTATTTACCTTAACGCGCAGTAGTGACCTCAGTCACTTCTTGATTGAGGAACATGGGTGTTTTAATTTATATAGTTAAGTAGCAACAACTCTTGGATTTTATTTAAAATAAGTGATTTCAAAGGTACTGAAATAACCGAAATATTTTTACTGACTTCACATTAATTTGATATTATCAAAATAATAATTTAGCTACTTAACAGCTTAAATCAAATAGCTACTTAAAAAAAATTTGAGATGACCATCATACTTTAAGTTTTAAACAGACAAACTTTTATGTTTCCAGAAAGAATTATAAAGGGAATAAAGCACTGCATAAGAGTATTTTCAAGAAATAAAACACTCAAGAACCCACCTACAAACATTACTTAGAAACAGGAAGTTAAGTTATGATTATCCTAACATTTCTTGAATGGCATTTTACCCCTACAGGTCCTTTGACTCACTGAATGCACAAAATGTTGCTCACTGCATAAAGAGCTATTTATTATTACTGATATAACTTTTCTGTCCCCTCAACTTTCTGACACTTGCACTACTGAAGTATTTCAACAGCCTGTCAATTCTATGAGGGCTAGCAATAGTAGAAGGTGAAACTAGTTTAACAGATGTCTGCACACATACAGACACTACAGCTGGCACCATACTACAGCATAATGTAATTATGCTACAGCAAGATGGTTCCCAGCCTATTTTTAGACAGGCATCTTTGAGGGGAAAAAAAATATTATGCTCCTTGTCTTACCTAGGCCCAGCTCCCTCCCCTTCTACTGCCATCCTAAGAATTGTAACAGATGCCTTGGATGAATAGTTCAAGTAATTGCTGCCACCTGCTCCTCACTCATGCCAGACATACACTAGAACACTCCTGAGGACCCGACTGATTCTGCCCAATGACAGTTATTTAACAGTCTCATTTGGGTATCTCTAGCTCAGGAGCCTAGACCAAGCAGAAAGCAGTTGCATAGGCTCCATGTAACACCTCAACTGTCATTCCTAAAACAGTAGCACAGAAAGAACTTACTTAAACTGAACAATCCTTCCTTGCTCATTCCCTCCTCAAAATTTAAGATTTATTCCTCCATTTTTTCGAACTAAAAATGTTTTCCATCCCTCTACAATTGCTTTCTCCAGTTGTAAATCCAGAGTTCTTAACTGTCAGGCTTTTCATCCACTTGGCCCAAGTAAACTCCCCCCAGTATGACCCACTGCCAAAGCAAGCCCATACCTCTTAACCATTCTGCCTACTTCCTTAGTCCATTCTTCTTCCTGCTTAGCCAGTGCAAGCCTCCCATTCTTTCTCCCTCTAACCACTCTCTGGTACATGCCTCCTCCTGTTGATATTCCAAGGGGTAAGGGCAGAAGAGTTTGCCTGCAGTCAGGACCAACTAGAGGCTAGAGTTAAACATACAGAACAGCCATGTCCAATGCCAGACCCCAAGACATGCCCACTCCAACACCTGAAATGCCTACTAGCTGTTCATATTCCCAAACATAAAAGCACACACTACCTGATATTTCTCAAAAACCCATCACATGGACAAACAAGGATGAATTTTCAGAGTAAAAGCCTTGGTTTCGGTTCTCTGCTCTAACCCAAGACAGAAGAACACTGAAAGTAGTCTTTTTAGAGGACATCCGGTTGTGTGGAGTTTTGTGGGGTTTTTTTTAAAGACAGTAACATTTTCAACCCCTCTACTTTTCCCATGTTCTTGGAAATAGTTGAATCCTTTTAGCTGAAGTAGTCCAAAGATATCCACAAATAACAGACCATCTGACATGAAGAATTCAGAGAGCACAGGTGCTTAACTGAAAATGTAAGTAATCTAAGTACAACTATATATCCTTCTTTTAAGGAAGGAGTATGAGGGAAGAAACTACATAATGAAGAAGAAAAACAGAGCTGGAACCTAAACCACAAGTAGGTTATTAAAAGTAATGACTATAGTCCAACGGCACCCACAGGAAGCTTCCACTCACTGTTATCTGTTCCACAGAAAACCTGAGTAGCAAATTTTTCCAAATGCCTGTCTGCTTGTTGACCTCCACTAGCTTGGGAGCGCGTTAATGCCTTTCCCTGAAGTAACAGTAACATACATCATCACCACCTCTGCCAAAAATAAAGCTTTATGTAGAAACAGTAGTCAATACCTTTATCTGCACTTCCTTAACAGAACCTAAGAGTTCCTTACAATCCCCTAAAAGAGGCTGCTGCTGTTAGGGGGAAGGTAGCTCAAAGGCTGCTGTCAACAATAGAACACATGAGGTATTAAAACACCTAAACTTCAATCTAGCCCTGTAGAAAAGAAACCCATATAGACTGCTTCTAGATGTGGCACAGAGCACAAGAGAGAATGGAGATATGCACTCGACCATCATCTTGTTCCTTCTAAGAGAGTATCAAAACAGAATCAGGACAATGATTCTTCTACTGCTACTCTGACATGCACACCTACACTTCCAAGACAATGACTAGTGACTTTGTAAGATGAAGTAGGTTTTGGTGTGTTTCCTATTTTTAAAAGAAGGGTACAAATTAAAAGAGAACCTAAGACAGTCTGTCACACCTTATTTTAAAACAGAGCTACTGTATTTTAACTAGCAAGGTGTTTTACATATCAATAATCAGAAAACTCACATTTTGGACAACTACTACTATTTGAATATGGTATGGCATTTTAAAGTTTTTATCCACTTAAATTTGAATGTGACCTGAATGGGATGTTTGTAAGTATAAAACATGTCCCAAAAATAAAGAGTAATACGAACAATAAGTATACAGTAAATATTCATAACTGCAGTTTTCAAGAAACACCACCATAGATGCTCAGTCTAGTTAAGATGTGACAGGAAACATTAAAGGCTTACATATAAATAACTGTCACCAGTATATTTTACAGGTAAACATGAATTATAAAAAATGATTGACTAAAATTCTTTTATGGATTAAAAATTAGACATGTCAATTAACACAGGGCAAATAGCTGTTGTTTGTTTATGAAATGATTTAGCAAACTACAGCTTAGCTTCGCATCTCATCCAACATGATTTGTTTTGCTACTGTTACCGTACTGGAAAAAATACTCTCTAATAACACAAACCCAAGTAGTCCTCTAGAGCTTCTTGAAACTACATACATTTAAACTTTTAGCATTTGAAGGTGCCAATGTCTCCATTGCAGCTTTTACCCCCCTTTCTTCAAGGGCCCATCTTCCTACTGCCATGTACTATGAAGGAGATTACAACCTTGAAGCTATTCATGTGTCACTACCTGGAAAAATACAAGCCACTTTGGTATGTGTGTTTAGGTTTTGTTTCTTGTTGGGGGGCACGTGTGTCCTCTAAATACACTAAAATTAGTAAAAGCTCTTTAAAGGTTCTTCTAAACAGATGTTTAGAGCTGTGATGCATAGGCTTTTCTAGAACATCTGTAACAAAATGCAGCCAAAAATCCTATAGTCTTCATGATCTTGTCAAAATTCAGAGTCTTACATACTCGAAATTTTTGTCTAACTCATTCTTTTAGAAATAGAGGAAGAAAGGTAAAAATAGTACACACAAATTTGGTTTTGGTGAAAAAACTTGCATTTATTTTTATTTTTTTAGTATTTATTGTTTCAGCTATATGTTCAGAAGTTCAAAAGAGAAAACCTCTTACTACTGCTGTTCCTCACAGCAGTATTTATCAGTAAAACCGAGAAGCAAGATCAACGTAGTAATCTTACTACAAGGGAAGTGTTGTGGTAGAGTACCAGAATAGATCTTCATTAGCATCCTGTGCTGCATTAGGAGTGCTGCCAACAGGTCAAGGGAGGTGATCCTTCCTCTCCACTCAGTACTGGTGAGAGACATCTGGATTACTGGGTCCAGTTCTGGGCTCCCCAGTACAAGAGAGACATGGACATTATTAGGCTGAGGCCAACAAAGGGCCATGAAGATGACTGGAGCATCTGACATACAAGCAGAGGCTGAGAGCACTAGGGCTGTTAAGCCTTAAGGGAAGGCTCAGGGGGATCTTACCAATGTGCATAAATACCTGATGGGGGGACTAAAGAAGGCAGAGCCAGGCTCTTCGCAGTGGTGCCCACTGAAAGCACAGAGGGCAATGGGCAAACTGAAACACAGGAAATTCAACTTAAACATAAGGAAATGCTTTTAGCTGGGACAGTGACTGAACACTGGCAACAAGTCACCCAGAGAGGTTTTGGAGTCTCCATTTTAGGAGATGCTCAAAACTCAACTGTGCACAGTCTTTAGTAATCTGGTCCAACTGATCCCACTCTGAGCAGGCAGGTTGGACTAGACAAACTTCAAGTCCCTTCCAACCTCAGCGATTCTGTGATTCATTTTTTAATCACTGCAAAGTAAGCTTTACCCCCTATTTTTTTCTTTTCATACCAGTGCTTACTATGAACTGAGGTAATCTTATGGTCTTAAAAGCAATGAAAATACTGCAGAGTTACATGTCATATTAATATACCTGACAGCTCTGAAAACCTACAGCAAAAAAGAAAGGAATGCTAAAAGAAAGTAACAGAGGAAAGCTACAATACTAGTTAGTTTTGCACAGAGCTTGTATTTTTCAGAACAGAAGCTCTCAGGTATACCTTAACTATCAGTAAGAAGCTTTTTACAATCTCCTCTCAGAAAGTGCCAAATTAAAGCAGCAGGTGAAGACTATGTTAAGAAAGTAATCCAAAAAAGATCAAGTCCAAAAGTGGTAGAATAATTTTCAAGAAACCCAAACTAAACTCAGAAGAAAACAAAGTCACAGAAACCCTGCAGAAATAAAGGAGAAACAGAAACAGCCACATAAAAGGTATTCAGTACAAAGAACTTTAGAAACCCCAATAAGCATATCTGTCACATTTCAAAAGATCTTTCTCTAAAAGTCAGTAGCTCTTTCCTCTACCTAACCAAAGGGATGCAGAAGCTTACAAATACCTTATCTAAATCCAACATAAGTATCAGTCTAACCCTCCTAAATGAAACCCAGTAAACTCAATTTCATCCTTAAATTTCAATGTGTTCCTGCATCCATTGATAGTCAGAAGTAATATTTTTGGTAAATATGCACAGTTGATAAATGCTAGAAGAAAGTAAGCATAGCTCATGCAATAATCAGCTTGGTTCTGAAACAGAAGTCCTTCCAAGCACAGCTGCTGCTGAAAATCAACTGAAATAAATATTTTAAAAAGCAAACTTTAAGAAGTGATCTTTACTAATTCAGGGAAAATTTTAAGTGCCCCACCATTTCTTTAAGCACAGAAAACATGATCCTATAGATATATGAAAAACAGTGCAAGGGTACTGGCTCAAAAGCTGATATTCCTGTAATAGTCTGAAAACACTTATCCTCTAAATACTTACAGTACACTCTTGCATCTCCTGTTCCTTAGTTGCCAGCCTCATCACCAGAATATTTTCTCTTCGGGCAGACTCTTGCTGTTGCTGTTTCAACTTCTCTTCGGATTCTCTCAATCCCGTCACATCATTAGCTAATACAAGCAATAACACATAAAAAGCACGTTTTATAGCACCCTCTCATGCATAGTTTTTAAAGACAGCTAAAAGAATCTAAAGCCTAATACATAAGCAGCAAGTCATAGATAAGCATGACTATAATAAGCATAAATAAGAAAAATCAAATTATTATTAAAAAAGCTTGACAACAGTTGGTTTCAAATATATCTTTCTGTTCCTTCCTTAAGACTTCAACTTTTCAAAATGTTTCCATGTTTATATAGAAAATAACTTTTAAATTGCTTGCTTAACCAACTACTATTACAGCTTGCAGCCTGAAACTCAGGAAGTTAGAACTGTCCTGATATCTATAAGAAATGTTGAGGCCAGGGTGGGGGGAAGAGGGAAGTCTACACTTTGGCAAAAACCAATCTGCAGTCTGTAAAACTGTGCTATTTGTGGTCAATCCTCAAACTGGTCTCAACACTCAAGTAAACAGCAAGACATTTGAGAACTTCAGCAATGGCAGTTTGGTCACAACTAGAATTCTGATCCATGAACATTTATGACAGTGTGTGTGTATCTATCTATCTATCTATCTATCTATCTATCTATCTATCTATATATCTATCTCAAATGTGAGAGAAGGCAGCACAGCACATTTCCAAATTACTCAAACAGGAACACGTACATGCAGTCTGATACAAGCAGTATACATTCACTGTGCTACTTATGTATAAACTGATGGAAAGTTGGAAGAATTAAAATCTTTATTTTTTCTAATTACTTAAGAATGATCAGCTGTAAATGTAAACTATAAACATCACAAACTGCTTCAGGACAATTATTTCTAAATAGTTCTTTGCAGATAATTCAATAATACTGATTACTACAGCCTGTATTAAGAGTTTGCAAAATTGAGAAACTGGGAATGTTAAAGCAACTTATTTATCTATGTTAGAATAGTTTGAGATTAGAATGAAATTAACTGCTTACATTTGCTGTATTTTAGTCTGTCCAAACCTCAAACATTATGGGGTGGCAGTAGAGGAAGGATGTTAACAGAGAGAGGGCATCCATTTGGACTGACAGAAAGATACCCTTCAAACTCAGTGGTAATTAAGTATTTAGACTGAAAAGGTGAGCAGAAAACAAGCAAGAGCCTATCTCTAGCTGCCAACACAATTTTTAAAAGTGACTTAGGCTTGGTGATTCCGTCACTTCCTGAATGTATACAGCTTTTCCCATTTGAGAGTTTTTCCCATATTCTCTTTCAAAGGACCAAAATACACACCAAGTTAAAGACCACATAAGACTGCCAATCAAATAGTTATTTTGCCTAATCAAATGAAACATTACTTGTGGACTCATTTTAGATCTTTATCTCTACAAACTATTCCCCCTGCCATGTGGTTTACAACCCTGTGATGCTACTAAAGGCACAGACATTCATGGAGTATTTTGGTAGGGGATAAGACTTCATTTCTAATGGAAAAGTCCTGAAAATGCACCTATTTGTGGTCTTATGTTCTAAGACACACACACATACCACCACCACCCCCCCGCAGTCTGGGCAGAGACAGTCCTACAGATGCAAAAATAGAACTTTTAGATGCTGTGTATAAGATCTGCAAAGAAAAATAAGGAGCTGAGAAAGCCGGGAAAAGGTAAAAACTTACACTAGAAAAAAAAAAAGGACTTTTTTCCTGGCAACTTACTTACAGATTATTATCTTATTTAGAGATACTAGAAAGCACAGACATTGCTTGAACACTCTGCTTTATACAAACACTCAGGTAACTCATACCATTTTGAAACTTGGCTAACTTACAATTAAGGTCTGTGTACTTGCCCTCCAGAGCTTGCACATATGCTTCATACTGTTTCCACCTATTGCAGAGACAGAGAGAAAAAAAAAATTTCTGAAGTTGTTTATTAAATCAACACATCTCATTCCTAAACTTTCAGAGTATATTTTCATACCATAATCAGAAAATGTTAAGAGGAAATTACACAACTGCATAAAGGAAAACTACAGCTTTAAAAACAGGGCTTTTAATCATGACAATCATTTAACTAACAGTAGTTAAATCCACTCTGCATCTCAAAAGGATAAAAAGGTAGATGTGCGTTAAAACATTTAAAATTGACATCATAAAACTTACTGCAATATTTTGGACAAACATTGGGATTAAATATCTATTACTTAGTTATCTGTGTGAAGTACCTAAGATACATCTCATTCTCAAAGCAGAACAATTCAAACAAAATTCTGTAACAGAAGCCATAATACAAAGACAAGATTAATCCTGTTACCAAGTGAACAAGACAAGCAGATGTCTATTACAATACACTAGAACTGGCAGTCTAGGTTAAGTAGTTATACCAGCTCATTCAAATCAAGACCATATATTGATTATATTCACCAACCAGAAGTCAAGCAGTTAATAACTCTTCGAAGGCATGTTATTTAAGGACTTCATCCAGAGTCAGAAAACCTCACACTTAAAACCAGCATCACATTTTATACAAGCCATCAAATCAGTAGCAAATTAAGTCTACAGTAAAGCTTAACATGACATGCCTTACCAACAAAGTTCACAGGAATAGTGTTTCAGAGTTTTTCATTTGTTTATTTTCAAAGTATTTTACTCATAACTGTGTCTTCCTAACAATGGTACAATTTCACATTATGAAACGAATTAATAGCTTATCACTACGGAAGTGGAAGGTTTCTGTTCCCTTCTCCCAACTACTCTTTCTCCCTGAAACCTGTTTTATGCCAGACTCATCATAATTGATCTGTTTTAACTCCCTAACTTACACCACTAACTGAAAGCTATAAAATCTAATGCTAGATCATTTTTGACTGTTCAGTGAATTCAAACAGCTTGCTAAAGGGTCTAAAAAGCATCATATCTGTAACAGCAAGTGAGATCACATCACTGGGAAAAGCAAAATTAAGCACAGGATCTCTTCCTTCTGGCAGCAACAAAATTTTTCATGTGTTCAGCTGAACATGAAATCAGCATGAATTAACTCTCAAGTATGTAGAAGAAAGCAGTTGTACTCCCACTTAACTCTTAAACTTAACTCTGCTCTAGAAAGAACATTGTTAGAAACAAAAGTTTTACTGACCACTAAAAGTTCTGTTAGTTCAGGAGATTTCAATCCCCCCAAAGTAAAACTGAAACCATCTACTAAACAGCAATCATGGAAAGAAAACCTTTTTTTTCTTTTCCACCCAAGAAGTACATGAAATAAAAGGTTTGGTTCTCAAGTACAGCTGACTTGTAAATTATATCTCACAGCCCCCAACCAGTAATTCTGTCAAAATCGTCACACACACACACACACACACACACACACACACACCCCCTCACCAATAACAGGAGCTATACAAAGAGCAAGTGAAACAAAGATCTGAAACACAAGTTAGGTAGACATGACAGACCACCACTGGGGAAAAAAACAAACACAACAACAAAAAAACAAACACATAACACATGGTCACCAAGAACATCAGAGAGAATACCTCTAAGTCACCTCTCAACAACTGCCAATATTTAGGCAAGACTTGAATTACTGGGGGGAAAAAAAAAAAAACTAACTAGAAGGCACTAGGCCATCTCATGGATTTTAAGAGTCATGTGCCTGCCAACACTTCTAGAAACATGACTCTTCAGACATAACATTTTGTCAAAAACCTGGTGAAGACTGTTGCAGTTCATCTTCAAGCCGATTGTACTGGGTCTGGCCAAGATGGTTCATTTTCCCCCAGCAGCCCTCACAGTGCTGTGCTGTACCAATACAGGTAGCTATCAAGGTGTTGATAGCACACCAGTGTTTTGGCTACTGCTGAGCAGTGCTCACACAGCATCAAGGCTGTCTCTCCAATGTTCCCCCCTCACAAGGAAACTGGGGGTGGGCAAGATCTTGGGAGGGGATGTAGCCAGGACAGCTGATCCAAACTGACCAAAGGGATATTCCATATGATATGACCTCTGCTCAGCAATAAAAGCAAAGAGATAGCGTGGTGGGGGCATTCATTATTACATTTGTCTTCTGGAGCAACTGCTACACATGCTGAAGCCCTCCTTCCTGGGAAGTGGCTGGACATCACCTGCTGATGGGAAGTAGAGAATATAACTTTTGTTTTCCTTTGCGTCCATGCATAGCCCTTGCTTTTGCTTTATTAAAATGCCCTTATCTTGACCAATGAGGTTTTTTCCATTTTATTTTCTCCTCCTCCCAGGAGGGGAGTGACAGAGCAGCTGGTGGGCACCTGGCATCCAACCAAGGTCAACCCACCACACAAATTTACAAAACTGTACAGAATAAACTGGTGATCACACTGACAGAGCACTCTCCAACAACCAAACCATCACTTTTAAAACTTGAACATTTTCTACCACATTAGCTTTACTTTCACACACATGCACTGTCTCAATTTTGCTACAACTACAGAAGATCTTGGAAACAATTTTCTTTTCTACTAATTGAGCAGGTTTTCACCTCACTTCAGGCAAACCAGAAAGCTAGCAACTATAGAGACAAAAATCAGAAGCAGGCTTATTTAATGCAATCAGATTTAGAAAAAAAAAAACACATTGACACAGACAATCAAATAGACTAAAAGCATCAAAACAATAAGTGAAATAATGAACATCTAAAAACATTCACATTAATGAAACGGACCATTCTTATAAATAAATTTGGCTCAGGAAAGTAAGCAAATATATTGGTAGGCCCTTGCTGAAAGGGGACCAATTCTTTTTCAATGAAACGTGCAGTTGTGATTCTTCATCTGTTGTGTATATATTTTTGTAGTGATCTCAGCAATCCTGAGCACCATTATGACAAAATATTTACTCAAAAACATTCATGAAAGCAACTGAAGTAAAAGGAAGTCTTGTGATGGCCCTGATAATTTAGTTTTCACTGAAGTGTCTATTAACTGACTTAAGACTTTAAGCACCTTTTACGGTTTCTAAGTTCTTAAGTCTCTTCTTGTAGTAACTTTTCTTCAGTACCATTAATAATCTATTCTCCTAAACACTGTTTTTCCATCTTATTTCACTATGTTTACAGTAGTAGCACAGAGGGAATTAAAGTGGAATTCTGATCTTTGAAAAGCTGAAGTTACAAAGTTGTAGCTTCTGAAGTTACACAAAAGAAAAAGGAAAATAAGGAACTATCACAGAATAAAACATTTTTTTGAAAGGAAGATGAAGATCATTGACAATGTTTTTAGTGTTCCAACTCTGAACATTGATAACTCTTATTTGTTCTTTTTGTTCCTTCTCGGTTATTATGTCTACACTGTTACATAAGACCAGATGACACTACAGTCAAACAGGTCAGGTATAAAACTATGCATTCCTAGGTCTTAAATGGCCACATGAATGGTGTTTGAGTTCTTAATACCATTCTCTAAATGAACAATTCTCACAGAAAATCTGTTTTTACCTGAACAATAGAAGGGCAGCATTTCCAGATGCATGACCTTGGTCTTACATTGTACAACTGAATCTCCACGCACAACTCTGCTTCTGTACTTTTTTTCCAGTAATGTGGACTCCCAGCTGCTGACATGCAATGCTGAGGTGAGCCTGCACTCTCATTAGGTGAATCTCACATCCTGAGTTTTCACACAGAGCTTAAAAGAGGTGACAAGGACAGCAAATTTGTGGAATGCTCTAATGATGCCTTTGCTCAGTGATGGAATCTCAGCCATGCCATGCTGAAACTATAGAGCAGAAGCTGAAGCTAATCTAGCAGCGGATGTAGTATCACCTAGAAATCCCAGCTATCAAGCACAACTCCAGTATAGTCCAAGGGTTCAGAGCTACAACAATAACAACAACAAAAAAATCACACCACCACACACAAAAAAGCAGAAAACCAAGTATGATCTGAACCCTCCATTAAGCCCTACTGCTATGAGGAAACCGTTAGAAAAAGTCAACTCACAAATGTCACCATGTTTCAGATCCAGTTAGAAACTTTAATGAAAGCTGAATCCAGAAATACTGTAATCCTCTGCATAAAAACATGCAACTTCCCCATAAGACACCAGAACACATTAAAGATCTGATAAATTATGAAATTTTTATATAAATAGCATTCCTAAAAATTACATACTTCAAACATTTTCCAGCTAGCTCACTTTACAGACTCCTCAGAGAAAAGATTTTTTCCCCTAAACATATCCTGAAGTTCAGTGAAGGAAACTTAAAAAAAACCCACAGTAGCGATACAAACAGAATTACTTTTGTCCTCCCCTCCCATTATGTCAGAATTAAAATTTGAAGACTGCTACTAGCACATCTTCAACTACAGGAGGAAAGCATTCCCCTCTGGGAAACTTTTTTGCCTTACTTAATGATACATCCCCTCCTATCAGGTTTCATCTACACTTAATATCTGCATTAAATTTTTTTAATAGACAACACTTCGTGACATAAAAAAAATCAGTTTTCAGTTAAACCATTTAAGAATTTGCACATACTTGCAAAAGCTTTAAATAAAACAGTGATTTATAGGAACTCGCCAGCCAGACCTTAACTGCCTTTCTTTCCAAGTTGCAAGAAATAGTTCTCCTCTCACATGTGTAATCTATGAGATGCACTGGTTTAAGCAAACCTGAGAGCTGCCTTGACCTCCTTGCCCCATATTGCCCTTTCTGGTACCTTGTAGAGGACTCAGGCAGCTCAACAGTGAACTTGTGGGGGGAAAAAAGACAAAGGCTAAAAGCCAGCTTTTTTCTCCAAGGTTTTGTTTCCACTCAATACTGGCTTTTTGGATCTATTTAGTAGTTCATGTCAGGAATCTGATGGCTAAACACTGGCAATCTGAAGAGCTTCACTAATGTGCTACTTGGAAAGGTGCTAAAGAACAGAGGCAGAGCTGTACACAGAACTAGGAAGCCAGTCCTGAATCCAATTTACAGTCAAAGGGTCACTTAGCCTCACAAGAACTGAAAGGTAATTGAGCAGCATTATGTAGGTTAATTAATTTTCTTCCTTCTCTAAAAATATTAAGCAGACTTTAAGACCCCATGACTTCAAAATAACTCTATAAATACCACTATTTTTCTTGGAGGACCTATTTTTTATGCTGAGCTTTGGGGTTCACTTTTTCCAAGAATAAATGATAAGAACTCAGCAGGTTGTGCACACACAGCATTACACCTAAGCTGTTCCAAAAGGGACTGGCTGTAAGTCCACGTTCACTGAAGCCGAGTAAAAGCACTATTTCCTCAGAACCGCCTGTGTAAATAGAATTGCTTCAGTGTTATGCAGACTAACCACTGGGCTAAACAGTCAGGGCAATACTGATCAGATTTTTAGCTACGATCCACAGAGAGCTTTGTTATTGTGTTCCTGGCTCTTACTTCTTCACAGAAGCTCCTACACAGTCAAGCTAAGCAGATACTTCACTGAAGCGAGGAGGGGAAAGATGAAGGCGCTAAAACCACAGCAACAAGTTAACAAGACAGGCAAAAATTCCCAAAAGGCTGGACTGTAAGCCTTCTTATTGATCCTGCTCACATTTAGTTAAAATGAGCAAACCAAAATTAAGTACTTCATGAAAAATAACAGTGAAATTGGGATTCATGGCACAGAAACTGACAGAAAAGAATTAAGATTTTCTACATATTTTGTCACTGCAATTGTACAGTAAGGACAACGTATTACCTAAAAGACTAAAAGCAGATGACACGTGCCCCTATCTTAAAACCATCTGCCTCACCAAATCATGGACCAAAAAAACCACATTCCAAAACTTAAGACAATCCAGTAGCGTTCAACACATTTTTCAGTGTCTGAAAGTAGCAGATGCCTTTGATTAAAATATACTTATAATAGTGTTGTTTTATTGCAACCTACAAACGAAGCCAACAATTAAGTGTAGTAAATGCTAGTTTTATGTGAAATCACAATTAAAGCTGAACCTCCTATAAATACATTAAATATGCCCCTCATTCAAACAAAAAATCCCCAAATGTTCGTAGGACTGCTTAATACAAAAAAGATGGACACAAAACCAGCATTTTAGTTTTCACTCCTGGGTATAATGGACTGCTGTTCTCTTTGAATCCATCAAGCAGCCTTTTTGAGAGCAGAAGTTGCTTTGTCTACACTAATAAGATTCCGTATCAACATAGCTGTCATTAGCAAATTCCCTAACTCTTCATTAACACACATTTAGCTGCTGACATACTTTACCTCCTTGGGTACATTCCAGCACATTGTCACTTGAATATATGCTGGAAACAGATCTTCTATGGTAGCAACTAATCATTGCAAGTTAAAGAAAACTATTACAACTGAAAACCTTTTTTTTTTGTTTTCACACAATCAGAAAGCAAGTGGCACAGAATGTATGCTTTGATACTTTGACAGGAATTTTATAGCTGGAAGTAAGAGCATAGCTTTACAGACTTAGAAATTTGCTATTCCCAGGGAAAATCATGAGTATGGAAATGTCTATAAAAAGGTTCACAAGGCCTAAACCACTCAACATCAAAGCAGTACTTTTTCCTACTTTTAAATACATTATCCTTTACTACCCAAAGACTACCTACTTGGAGGAAGCCAGAAACCAGTTTTAAACAAATGGAGCCAGACTACGTCGACTCCCCTGGAAAGAACTGTCACCCTAGAAGTAGCTGGCAGGATAGTTTGCCCAGGAGAGGGAGCAGCTGATCATACACATTAAGCACTGCACTTGTATCCTCATGTTTCTACAGTTAAGTCTTTGTTCTATGAAATAGCAATATTTAACTTGAGACACCATAACAATGCTAATAGCTTACAGTGTACAAAAAGCCAGGAGCTAAAGTTTACCAAAATGCACACACAAACTACTCCAGCAGATAAACAGACAACCCACAGATGCTTAGTTTAGTTTGCTCCTTGATTACAGATCCAGAAATTCAAATATACAGAGATAAGTGACTGGGGTCAGTTTCTTTAAGCAGGTAGTCTGCATGACAGGACTGCTTATTAGTTTTTTCAGTGATACTGTTTTCTAAAAAGTGAAAAAAATAGCCACGGTCATCTTTATGCAAATTCTAGGTGATGAAAACTTCATTTTAACATTTTACTGTTAATATTTGAACACTTTGAGAAGATGACTGCACAGAAACTTATTGTAGGAGTAAGGAGTTGACATTTTTCTGATGTTCAAAAATAACTTGCTATCTAGTAAGGAATGTAGGCAACCATATCTTCTGAAGTTACAAGTGAAGAAAAAACCCTCCTACTCATGTATTACAAAATATTGTTCAGGATTTTGTCTCTGAGAAAAGTGTTTCCCCCAAAACTAGATATAAAAATATTTCAGACAAAATGAGAAACTTTAGAGAAGAGCTGTATCATGGAAAGGAAAGAAGAGTTTTTAGAAGAAGGATACTAAAAACAAAGTAAGAAGGAAGTCACACATCTTCATTACAAGTTCACTAAAAGGTTGAGATAGAAAAAACACTTTTTACTTTACCTTAGGATGAGCTCATCTCTAGGTAAAACCTTAAAATCTGCTTCACTAAGGCGAACCTATGGAGAGGAAGGAAAAAACACAATTTATCAAGCTGTCAGGATTACGGGAGGGGGGGGTGGGGTGTGTGTGTAAAGTCACAAGTATTTTTAAACATACCTTCTTTGGGAGAGGTTCTTCATTCGTCATTGTGAACTCTGAGGAGGAAGAAAAAAAGGGAGTTTATTTAGCGAAGTTACCAGTGCACATGAAATACTGAACAAGTCAGAAACTTGTACTCCCAGCCCCATTAATTTCTGGGTTTTAACTTGTAATATTAGAGTACTGAAATATTGGCTCCATACAATGCAGACCCAGGGTACAAAAACAACACCCAACAACATGTTTGCTGCAGTAATCTAGGTACAAAATCAACGGATGCATTTTTTTCTAAAAATTAACAAAAACTTTCTTTAGATGAAAGGCCTATCACCATCAATTCTTCCTATTTAACTAAGCAAAACCACCCAACTTTGTCAATACACATTTACATCAAACTGACATTTCATATGTGCCTACATCTATTTAATACTGTATTTTACAAGGTAGAGGATAATCAGGGTCTGAGGAAAGCAAGTGATACTACTAATCTCTAATAATAAAGTAAATTTGTGAACATTACCACTAACGTTTGGGTTAGGTCAAAATAACATGTTGTTCCAAGTACTTATTCTCTTACTTTTAGGATTTTGATAAGCAAAGTATTACAGAGTTATTTGAAAACCCTTGTGAGTATTTTTAGGAAAGATGTCAAAGAAACAGCTTGCATACACCAAATTCAATTCCTTTTGTGTGTATGCAGTATAATAGGATTGCATTGTGCTGAGTTAAATATTCACAGTTCCTTGAGTTACAGGACATGCTTTCTTACCTCAAAAGGATAATACCTGGTACTTTCTACAACTATGATTATGTCAAAAATACTGAGTCCACAAAGATTATATCATACAAGTAACAACAAATGTAAGGTTTGCTCGACACATGCATCTCTGCAATATCCTTTCCATCAGAAAAGCTGCATATAATATTAAGAATTGACAAACTTGTAAAGCTGCTGCAATGAACATATACCAGGGAAAGGATATGTCAACTCTTTGTTTGTGAACAATTAGCTTCAAAAAAATAATGCTGTTAATATTTTTTTTCTCCAAAAGACTACTACAGACTACCTTAGGTATTTTCACAACAATGCCCAATGAACTAATTTAACTTTTCCCAATCCTAAGACAAACAAATCTTAAAATTATTTGTCAATAACACAAACAAATACGCACCAAATGAAGTAGAGCCTCTCCAACCTACACTAACCATTGGCAAATACACAGCACTGCCAGGCAAGTCCCTGGTAAATAAAACTAAAAATAGAATAAAAAACAAAAAACAACCACCTCCCTCCACCTAGTACAGTGTGCAGATAAAACAACTTCCAAGCTTCTCATAAAATAAAACCCGACATTAGAACCCACAGAAAGGTTTCCAAAAACATTCAGTAGAAGCATCTCACTGATGAACGGCAGCTTCCTGTTCCTAGTCTTAACACACAGGGACTTAAATGCTTCCCTAGCCTAAGAGGCTAAGAAGACCCACCAGCACCTTCCTGCTCACACACAAGTTACTCAAGCATTTTGCTTTAACTTCTGGATGCAGTTCCTTAATGAAGACTGGTTTACTAAAAACATACCTTAAATATTTTCAAGCATAGGAGGCTATCGATAAACTGCTGATGCCCAACTCGGTCATCCAAAATAACACAGGATAACTTGAGATGACAGGGGGAATGCTCGTGACACCCCTGTACTTAGGGTTTCCTACCTCTTCCACTATAATCTTCCTAAAGGATTTTTAGACTAACTCCTTTTGCATTTGGAAACACTCTAAGATCTCAGCACGTTTTAAGTCCTCAACAGAGAGACACATGCTTTTTAGATGTCCCACAGAACTACAATTAACACTAATTGTGCACTGATAATACCAAGTCATTATTTACGTGTTCCTCTGAAAGGTACCAGAAGCATACAAATACGAAAAAGGGTGCGTTTCCCTAAAGACTTGGCTTGTGAACCCTGCAGCAACATATAACAATTACAAATACTTAATTGCTGCTACAATCGTGACTGAAAGAAATCAAAGGTTGGTGCTTCATCTAAGGGTAATCTACCTCACATCTCCAGACCTCTCGCAAGGTTCCAGCACCCAGTTGTTCTCTACAGCAGCACCAGACCTGGCTAGTCTAACCACTACGCCCAGACACCACCATTTACAAAGCCATCTCTTGCTTTCAGACAAGAACTTAAAAGTGCTGAAGACTGAGATTACAGGCCACTGCATTAAAGCTACTGTCCTAATGCCATCTATTATCGCTTGTAGTAATAGAACTGTATGCTAAAAAAACCCAGCATGCTAGCTAAAAACATTCTACAGGTTATTTTGGAAAAGCTGGGTTGATCACATCTACAGATAAACACTAGTGCTTTCTCTATGTGGGAATTTCACCTCACTCCCATGCAACAGCTTTTTTGGCATCCACAGTAACTCACCAAAATCTCAGTAATTTGTTACTGCTATACATTTCTACCACTGTGCTCAAGTTGTCACAATGATTTGCCTTAGCTTTCTGTTCATTAACAGATGAATTTGTGTGCTAGAGATAATACAACTGAAATGTTCATCCTTTGAATACAGTAACTTCTCAAAGTACTGTGCAGCAAGAGGTGTTTCCTATCACTTCGCTCTGCTCTAAGAGATGATCTCTCTCCTATGCAGATGAGAAATATTTCGCAAGAACGTGAAGTGCCATTTTCTACAATAATCAACAAAACAATATTCCTGTATAACTCACTAGAAATAACACGATTATATTTCGCAATTTATATGAACAGCTTAACAGCACTATCCTAACTAAACACTTTCATGATTTTGAGGAAACGATGGCTGCTACGCACCCCTACTTCTGCACATCTGCTCCTGGCAACGAGCAATATAAAACCATATTCCATACTTAAAATAACGTCACGGGCATTGAAAGAATTTTTACGTAATCTCATCATGTTTTAGGCTTCTACGGTACTTTATTCATATTTAAAGGTAAAACCGGGAAAGTGCATTTTAGTTTTGAGAACTCTAATAGTCTGTACACCTTTTACTACAATGTTTAGAAAACATGGGATTTAAAGACTTAAAAAAACCCCTAAGAAACAAAGTCATTAATATCAGGTATGCGCTGCTTGACTAGTTACACCTGAAGTAACTGCCAGTTATTTTACCGATGAAATAGAGTTCCGTGGGGGAAACCCCGGCATAGGCTCCAGGGTCTCAAAATATACTGAAAAGCTTCAAAATACCGCTCTGACTGGGCAGACTTCATACTCGCCTCGGTAAACGCGGTCTGAAGCTGGGTCCCGCGCCTGCCCCCCCCCGCCGCCGCCGAGGCCCCATCGTGCAGCCCCGCCTCCTGCGCGGAGCCCCCGCCGGC